GGGGGGCGCCCGGGGGGGGGGGGCGGTGAGCAAAGAGGAGCGAGTCAGTGTCAGCGACTCCTTGGGTGTGAGTGCGTGTGATGGTTGTTGGACTCCAAGGGAGCGAGGGAGAAGGGGAAGGGGGGCGTTGAAAAATCACAAAAGGCGACGACAGAGAATACCACCACCGGACCGCCGTCGTCATGATTCGAAAGCAACAACATACAACAGGAATGAACGGGCCAACAGATGACAGCCAAACGACCGGGTCAGACGGCAACAACAGCAGCAGCAGCAGCAGCTGTACCGACAACAACTCCCACCCAGCAGCCACAACAAAAAACGGTCTACGACAACGCCAACAAAAACGGCCAAGAACAAAAACAAGAAGCACCTGTCCAGGTGGGGCGGCACGTCCGGCCTCCACCCCTGCCCGAACCTCGCCCAGCTGAGTGCGAAGAAGTTCTCCAGCATCGCCACGCTCGTTGTGTGGAGGTGGGCCGGGTGCGGTGGGTCGGGCTGGCCACGCTGCGCCTTGGTCACCTCGCGCCTCAAGTGCATCAGCACGGGTCGCAGCTGCCGTGCCCCCATCTGCTCATGTATGTCCACCAAGCCAAGCAGAAGACGCAGCAACAGCAGCAGAAAGAGGGTGGAAAAACAAAGGGTGGGGTACGGGTCATGGTCACACGGCGACGTGCGAACGACCAACGGCAGCAACCACAGAAGATACTCTTATGTAGGGGGGTGGGGGGGGGAGGGGGGCGAGCAAAAATTACGTGTTTGTCCCTTACCACGCCGATATGTATCCCATCGCAAACGGTCGTGGAACGTGTCAATATACTAGCAGGGTCGTGTGCCAGGCAGACTCGAGTAGTAGGCTGCACAGGAGAAGGCCTCCCACCCGTTCCACAAAAATGACAGAACAAAAACAAAACGAAAAAGAGCAAGAGGTTTTGGCTCATCAACGAAGTACTCAGCAGAGACGCATCCAACCAAGAAAAACAAGCAAACGGCAACACCAAAAGAGCTTGCAGCGCCCCGAACAAATCGTTGACGAACACATGGATCCGAACACTAACATCAATAACCAACGCCTACGTTGAGAGACAAACACCCAGACACGGAACAAGAAAAACACACATATCTGCTTCAGCCGCACTGAGACTGGTCTCTGCTCATTGGTCAGTCGGCTAGCGCGGTCGATGCTACATAATTCAAAAGACACACACGGGGTTCCCAGACATCATGGCCTTGGAAATCTTTTGTGTTTTCAACTTTTCAACCGCACAATCCAAACCGAACGCGCATCCAAAGCAGTAGCAGCCATGATAGACACCTGCAGTTCTCTTCTGTCATTGCTACGGTATCTGTCTTTCATGCGGAGAGTAGCGTAGACTCCCCTATAATACTCGGTCACGGGGTCTCAGCTAGTGGCCCACATGTAGAAGTACATTTCGTTTTCCACCACGCTGAGACTGGCGTATTTTCATTGGTCAGCCGGCTAGCGCGGTCGATGCCAATAAAAAAAACACAAGAGACACCCACCTGCAGCAGGCTGTGCATGCGAGCCGCCCTCCGCCGGTTAACCGTATCGTCTATCTGGTTGTCGCTGCTGTCCAGCGGGTTCATCACGTTCATGTTGCGGATCGGGAACAGCTTCTTCTTCTCCCCGGCCCCCGCCGCCGCCGCCGCTGCCGCCGCCGCCCCCGCTCCCACCACCACGCCGTCCTCCTTACCGCCATCCGCCCCGGGCACCGAAGGAACACCGGCCGCTCCCGCCATCGACTCTCCCGGCTCCCCTGTCGACTGGGCGCCCGTCCCTCCGATCTGAGGAGACTTCCTGCCGCCGCTGCCGGCGGTCTGTTGGTGGTGGTGGCGCTGGGAACCACCGCCGCCGGTGCTTCCGCCGTGGTTCCGGCCCCTCCCCGTCTGGCGCAGGCGGTAGCGGTTGAGGACTTCCTGTTGGGGGTGGGGGTGGGGGTGGGGGTGAGTGGCGACACGACGGGTATGCATAGTCTGCCTTACGACACACCAGACTGATCCACATCCTGCGCTGCCCAAGGCTTCAACAACAGTACAAACGAAAGGAGAATCCAAAAATGCGGTGCATTCTTACGAGAAAGCGCCACAGCACCGACATAACAACTCCCATGAGAAGCACAACACGAGGCCCAAAGAGATAATTCCAGCCGCATATGGATGAATGGCAGCGTCGGTACCCCGGCTGAAAACTCAAATACACACAACCGTGTGCCGACTGGTGCCACACGCGCATTCTCGCTGCGCATCGTAAATATCTCGACATCACACATCGCTTCGCCAACAGCATTCTTCCTTGCCTGGGAGAGAAGGAGCGGTGCCGGGCCCTCGGCCAGGTCTCCAACCGCCTCCGCCGCTCCGATCCCCTCCCCCTCCCCGATAACCGCGGCTGCGGCGGAACCCTCGCCGTGGTTGCTGTTCGAAGCGAGGTCGGCGGCGGTGGCGGAGGCCGAGTTGCTGTTGGTGTGCAGGGTGTCCAGCCTGCGGGGCCCCTCGATGCACCAGCAGTAGCGGCTCCAGTCGAAGTGGCTGTGCATTTGGAAGAAGAGCGCCATCACCTTCAGCGAGGCAGTTTACAGACAGAGACAGCGAGAGGGAACAAGAGGGGGGGGGTGGGGGTTCAAGAGACAAGAATAGACACCTTCGTCGTAAACAAGCTGTTCCACAAGAGGTTAAGGCCACAAGGCGTGAGAGGGGAATCGCTCCGCAATGAGAGTGCCTCGTCGTCCCCTGCAACGAGTCGCCGCCGTAAAAAACAAAATAATTTTGAATCAGATCAAGGAGGAGGCGATCAACGCGAGAGACACCGCATTGGGGGCGGGGCCGGGGGTAGGGGGACAGCGGATGGGAGGGGGCATCCCGCGCACCTGCAGCGGAGTGTGCAACCTGGCGTGGTGCTGATTGACCACGGCGAGCACCATGGTAGCGAGAGCTGACTCCGTGATCCTCGACAGCATGTTGCTCCCCGTGTACGCTCGGCTCTCGTACACCCACCAAGACTAATTTCGTTATCATCGTTCGTAGAGTGTCCGGTTTGCGCGTGTGGTGTGAGGAGAAACGAAAGGGCGTAACGGGGGGTGGGGGGGGGAGGGGGGCGATAGCGAGAACAGAAACGGGGGAAGGGGAGGTGAGAGTGTATTTTGTTATGTTGTCTTCACACAATTAAAAAACTGTTCCCATCTCTCTATCCAGTACCTTCATCTGTCCGTACCAATCGAACACTTGACGCGGTCGATCCCCGTGGTTGTAGTTCTTTTCGTCCAGTTCCGATTACACTGGGATGACCACAAACACATAACGAGAGCATAGTGATGGTGCAATACCGCAGCTGAACGCTATTCGATAAACACAGGCCCTCCGATACCGCAGGGCACCGCCGTTCACAACACGCCGCACGCCGCCGGCCTTGAGCAAAGGACGAAAAAACAGCCCAAAAATAAAAAATGCACGGTGAGCCAGCACCTTGATGAGCAGGAGGCTCCGCTTGAACAGGTGGTCCTTCCCGAGCAGCTGGTCGGTCTCCTCCAGCAGGGCCACGGTGGCTATGTCCCCGACCTGGTTAGCGCCGATGTCCACCGCCACCTGGTTGTCCACAACGCACTTGATCTTCTGGACGCGGCCCATGTTGATGAAGTTCACGTTGCTCAGACGGTGGCGGTAGCTCGACCCTTCCTCCTTCCTGATTGCGGCGCCGCCGCCATCCCCCCCCTCCTGCTTCGGCGTAGCCCCCTCGCCGACGGCCGTGATTTTTTCGGGGCAACCCCCCACACTTGTCCCCGACCCCTCCTCCTCCGCCGCCTCCTCCGAAGCCTCACTGGAAACCTTTCTCGGCAGAAAGATAGCAACGGGAGAATTAGCACCACATACCAAGAGACAGGAAACCACTACATTTTGTTTGCTTGTCGCACAACAAAGGAAGAAAGGAAGGTCTCTCGCAGTGACGGTCACAGCAGCACGTTACCCGTGGGCGGGACTAATGTACCAAAGGCGAAACGTAGAGGACCCGCGACAGGAAAAACAGTCGGAGGGAGGACATAACGACTTGACATGAACGATTTCTACAAAACAATAAAAAAAAAACACGCAAAAAAAAAAAAAAGCTTAATACATAGGACACGACTTGACGTCGGTCAACGACCTGAGGTCAACGACTTCAACAACAAACGGATGCCAAGACACAACACAAGGGCATCGAACCACCTACCTTGCAGAGCGTCTCGTTCACGCGCACGAACCAGCTCTTCTCCTGGCCGTGGCACAGGAACGCCGAGATGCCCACCTCCTCGTCGGGCAGGTAGGCCTGGATGGCGTACCCCCCCACGGGAAAGCACTGGGCCCCCAGAGCCCGCTTTACCTGGAAAAGGTTGCGCCGCCGATGGGGTTTCGTAGACAGGGGGAAAGAGAGATAAAACAATTTAGGACTCGTCGATGCTTTGTTGCGCGAGAAGAAGAATAACGATCCACCCGGTTACCGTACACTTCAAGATGGGCGCGGCGTGCAAAAATGTTATTTCCCATGTCAGTCAGTACGCGCGGAATCAACGGGTCTCATCATGAAGAGACAGAGTTAGCAGCATCGGGCTATCATGGTCTCTGAGTCGCTGCCCATCTAGCATTCCGCTCATCATCGCCTTCGAGTTACACCACCCACATCTTAGATGGGCAGCAGCAGAATTCGGGTGTGTACCCGCGAGTTGTACGACAAAGCTTTCAAGAACGAAAAAAGCGGCGTACTACTCGCGGGTTGCACCATCAACGCCAACTGACTCCCGAGCAGGTCCTGACCCCCCCCCCCCCCCCATCGCTTGGCAACGACGTTGTAAAACAAGCGCCCCCCTCGGTGTTTGCCATCGGGGTTGGGTTTTCGTCGCTTGGCAACGACGTTGTAAAACAAGCCAATTCACTTCGTGAATTCGGCAACCAGGTTACCGTTTTCTTTTTATCTCTTTTTTTGCGGCGACCATGAATGGTGGTCGAGTAGATCATGTTGTGCGGGGTCGAGAACCCTCACTCCGCGCAAGGGGGATGATCGCACCACGTTGTGTTAAATTGGTCAAGCATCCTTGAAGCAGTTACACAGTGCTTACAACTGTCTCTGGAAATGACAGCACCAGAAAATAAATGAAGTCACACGCAGCTGTCATCCGTACGCAAGGAAGTAAGCACAAGATGCCGAACACCCTTAGCAGGATGCAGCGCACCCTTCATGCGACTCGCCGAATACCTCACGGCGCCTCGCGCTTGGTGATGTGAGAGCCTGGTCCGGTGAGAACCCGGCGTGCTTCGTCCCGGCTTTGTAGGGATGCGAGGTCAATGGTCTAACGACTACGGCATGCACGACCATGAGTACACCCCCCTCCCCTCTCGAGGACGCGTGGTCAATGGTCTAACCGCTGAGGCATGCAAAACATAAGAGTACGCCCCCCCCCCCCCCCCCCCTCCCCCTCCGGCGGAAACCCCCCTT